TGCTAAATACCATAAGAAACTTTCAGTCTCTACGACAAGTAGAGAGAGGTTTCTCTGGATCATGGCACATGGTTAAGTTGAGCTATGTCTAGTGAATGATTCCACATCTAAAAAAAATTGGATACCATAAATGATACGTGCTAAACTATTAGGGGAAATGAACATAAAATCTAACAGTGATAAAAATGAGCAAGATCTGGAAGGATCTTGGGTAAATATGACTAAAGTGTGTTGTATGAGACATTCAAAGAACTAGCAGTAAAATATGCACACACATAACACACATTCACATCACACACACACACACACACACACACACAGACACTGCTACCTACAGTGGAAGAATATTTCCACAGATGGCTTCTTACAAAAGATTAGGTCGCTAAGAACTTTGAAAAATTATGTAATAAAATTTCAGTCTCAACTCATGGGGAAATTTTAAAATATAAATTGAAAAATAAGACTATTTCATAATTTTAATAAATGGGGTTCACAAACTTTAAGTCAAGTAAGTTAAAACCACTGTTGTCAATAGTACTGACTTAGCTAATGCCCAGGATTAAATACAGAGTCATTGAATATTCAAATATATATTTTGTTGTGCTTCCATTCCTTTGTCTGTGTGATGGTAATAGCTTTTATCCGTGTTTCACAGAAGATTTTTTTCAAGATAACATATTTGGTAAAGTATACCTATCCTGGGTAAAATCCAGATGTTCAATATTCTGGGAGGTATGGCTGTCCTTATGCTCAGAGATAAACTCTGGAGGAACCAGGAATGTTAAACAGAGTGTTGTCTCCTCGAGGAAAGAGATGCATAGCCTGTTTTCTACTTTGGAATGCTGGGAGTAGACATGGTTTATAGACCAGTGACCTTTGTGCTGTTCGTGTAGCTGAGACCACACTTATTTTTTTTTTCTTGATTAGCCTTATGATGAGCCTATTTTCTCACTGAATCTATAGAGCCATTTTATAAAAAGAGAGTGGATTTCATCATGTTTTAAGCTTTTTTGTGTACATGGGATCAAGTTAATTATCACCAAGAATTTTTTTTTCAACAAATTGTTCTGTACTTAAATTCGCCTAAAATAAACCACTTGAGCTCAGAGTTTCTAAGTTGAGCCAACGCCTGCTACTTAATCAATCTAAATAAAACTACCTTCCTAGCTCCCACAGATCATTACTCTGCTAGCCATGGTGACCAAGAGATGTTTTTACAATACTTAATTTTGACCACAGCAGAAAAAGACATCACAGTCCAGGCACATTGTTATGGCTTTTACTATGTGCTTGTGTGGTGGAAATCTTATAGTCAACAAGGGCAAAAGAATGGAAGAAGGAACTCAGATTCACAGTCTATGCAGCTAATGTCTCTCTTATTACTTTTGAGCTCTCGCTGAATGTGCACAGACACCCTGGTTGAAGTCTTCATTGTCATGCTGTGTCATAGAAATAAGGATGTTCAGTGGAAAAAATACCCAGCTTTCTTATTCTCTAGGCATGTTCCACATACAAAGCCCAGACTAGCCGTAGGCTCCCTACTCACATTTGAAGGCATAAGATTCCATGTGCGCTGTATACCCTGTGCCCGAGTATTCTTGTTCTCCTAAATCTGATACATTTCCTTTTCTGCACAGACAGGGCTCTTCTCTTATTTGCATAATTCCCACAGTAGAAAAAATTAAAGTGCTTTAAATATTAACCAGGAAAAGCAATTGCATGGGACAATCTACTCTGTAGAAACTACTACATTAAGAAGAATTTTAAAGAGCATTTGATAAAATAGCAACAGCATTCCTAAGCAGACCATGTTTTTCCCATGTGGCTAATAATGAAGTTGAGGCTACAGTTATGGGATAGCTTCTGTCTCACTAAGGGACAGTTAGGCGAGGCATTAGGTGCTGGAGACATACTTCTCTAAAAGCAATCTTCCAACATGGTTATAAAATCTTAACTATTGCTTATTCGTTCTGTACACCTGTTTATGATTGGGATTAAATTATATTTCAGTAATGTTCATTGAATGGGTCTCTACGGCTTTTTTATTACCAACTATAAAATCCAGGAAATTACAATTTAGTATACTATTTTACTTAGTAGATATGTATTAACTCCTTTCCCACAAGAAGGAATAGCAAATAGAAAAGAAAACTCAAATAAATAATTAAAATTTTACTCTTACAAAAAACAGGACTTTGCTTTGGCAATGAGTACAAATGATACTTTATTTTATATGCAAGTATTTATGTCTATTTATTAGCTGGATTTTACTTGATGCAAATATTATTGAGGCTTAAGTGATAGTCCAGAATTAAATAACATCTTTTTTTCTTTTTCTTTTCATTTTTTTTTTTTTTGAGACAGGGTTTTACTGCAGTTTTGGAGCCTGTTTTGGAACTAGCTCTTGTAGACCAGGCTAGCCTCAAACTCACAGAAATCTTGCCTCTGCCTCCCAAGTGCTGGAATTAAAGGCATGTACCACCACCACTTGGCACCACCTTCATATATACATCCTGAGAAGTGTTTCTCCTTCTACAAGATCTGCTTAATATTTTCAACATTCGTTTGTAAATATTTTAAAATATTAATTCAAGTTTTTTGAGCGATTCTTAATATTATTTATTATTTATTTTAAATCTGGGGATTTAGTAAATGAAAACTAGCCAGAATGATATGAAATTAACCTATTCTTGTCTGCTTTATCTATTCTCTAGTAATATGATGAAAATACAATTTAAATAAATCTAGAGGCATAAACATTATAAAACTTAGAAGTTGGAAGGAACACAGTGACACAGTTTCTTCGGGAAAAGACAGGACAAAGTGTCAGGACGCACACAGATGTGAGCCTGTTCCATCTTGTTTGAAGGTCAGAGAGTTTGAGCTTATTTTTGGTCTTCCATAGTCATTGAAAACAGGTGTGGCTACAAAATAAGATATTCTCTTAGGGTGTGGTTACTTGGTGTTTTGGTCTTTAAGATGGCCAGTAGAGGTTAATCTGCTCACCCCTGACCAGAGGTTAGAGAATTCAAGCATATTCTTGTGCTCATTCATTTAAAATAAAAGGTTTGACATAGGGAGTTGCTGCCTACAGGAAACTAGGTGCAGGGTGTTCACTGCACATTCCTGCCCAAACCATCAAATACTTTACTCAGGAAATAATGGTTTGATGTCAAGTACTGAAGCAAGTAACTGTTCTTGTTGTCCTTTGTGTCATGTTAAAGCAGTCTTTTGCCTTCTCCCCCCTTTTGTATAGAAGTATAAAGATGTAGAAGATAAATGTGGACAAATTCAGTATTCATGATCCACTGAGTTGCCTTGCAGGGATTATCCTATCCTGTGTCTCTTTGTATCTTTCTCATCTCTGTTCCTCCTACCCAACATTTCTAATCCTCAAGCTCCTACCCCAAAAGGTATGAAACCGCCCTTGCAAGACCACGGCAGAAGTCACCCCAAAAGTGGCTTGTGACACATAAAAATTGATGAACTCACAGGACTGACTACCAGAACAAGATTAAGCCTGGAAAGATTTCAACATGGATGGAGAAGCTCATGATGATCCCACCCATGGCTGGAATGCTATGGAGAATTAATGGCTTCTTTATGGAGGTGCCTTCTGGTAGGCTGACCATGCTCTAGTGAATGGCCCCATACTTCCGAGTGTGTGTAACTGGAATTGGTATATAAAACAGCAGTTCCACATTAAAGAAAACACTCAAAGAAATGGTGTGGAAACATTCTTACCCTTGCGTTTCCAGGCAAATATGAACAAAAATATTATTAATAACCTAAATGTAAGACAACACTGAAATATTACAGTAAAAAGAGTTAAATAAAAGATGCTAGATTCACACAATATAGGAAGCTGTATTTTCACATGAATATGCCAGTACAAAATAAAAAATATTCTAAGTGAAACAGTTTAGTTAGAAGTTATCACATACTCTTTAATTGTGCTGGAAGAATTACCAGAAGAATCTATTCTAGAGAGATAGGATGCATATCTGTGGTTTTCCTTACCTTTCAGGAAAAATGACAGTGTTTCAACATCCATTTGTGATAATGGAGAGAAAACTGTATTATATACTTTAGAAGAAAAGACATATACCATGCCAAAATTATCTAAATGAATGTCTTTAAATATTTTTATATCCTGTTTCATCTACAAAAATAAAGAACATGATTTCTGTTTACATAGCAATATTTTTCCCTCTAAAATATACATTTAATTATATTTATTTTTGTCATGTATATTGGAATATTTCTTAAATATTTATGTCATTTTTGTCTAACATTCTAAACTGAGGTGCTTTTAATATTTCCTAAAATATTAAGACACCATTATCAAGATAACAGATTTCTTTATGGATATCTTGTTTTGATTTATATTAATATTTGCTTTTTTCAACATCAAAAAATTACTTTGTGTGCATGTGAAGGTGTGTGTGTTTGTGTTCTTTTTGTTGGTTTTGTTGTTTTCTGTGCACTTGGGTGTTTTTGCACTGCCCTGGATATGTGTCCAGTTTCTCAGATTTGTCTTGTATAATTTGCTCAAAGAGATGTTAGATACACAGTTGAGATTTTCCAACAAATTCTTTCAGTGTAAATGCTATAAGTGCTAATTCAAGTAAGGGTTTTTTAATGATATCTAGAGCCTGAACTGCCTGATAGTAAGTACCCTTACTGATAAGACTTGGTAGCATAAGTGAAGTATAAGCATATGAAACAGGAAATTAGCACAATTAAGAGGAAAATCAGACACTCTTGACTCAAGGATGAGGACTAATCACTCCATCATATCAATTTCTAACTTCATGCTGGATGAAATTGAAGTAAAAACAATAAAACTCATTACATTATGGATATGAGAATGGCTTCATGTATACATTCTGCAAAATCCTGACAAAAGAGAAACGGGTCGTGCCTGGCTAGCTAGAAAATCTCTGCCTGTGATCCCATGCACAATGACATTGTTCCTTGAGATACATAAAGCTGGTTACCGTTCTCTGATGCAGTCACTGTGATATTGTACCATGGTGTTTCTTCTCTATCAAGAACTTTTGAAGTCTTAATGGTTCCAGTATTGGCATCAATATTGAAAACTCTGTCCTCTTCAGCATTGTGATTGATGAAATACCTGGAAGAAAAAAGATAAAAGTTTTCCATGTAAGGAATGGTAAATAAGAACAATATAACATAATAGTGAAGTTATTAAATAAAGTGCATTAAAATGCAGCTACATTTTAATGTCTATATTTGACCTAAGAATTGTTTAAGAATTGTATTTTATATAACCTCTAACAGTTGTTTTTAATAGCTAAATCATATATTAACATATTGAAGAAAAACTAATAAATTTCATGAATAAAAATAAGCCGTAGGTTTTGGTCTGGAGAGGTGCTTCAGTAGTTAAGATAAAATACTTCTCTTATAGGAAACCCATGTCAATTCTAAACACCTGTATCATGTTGCTCTCAGCTGGATCCAACCAGTCAACATTTCAGGAGGAAGAACTATGTTCCACTAGATGACCCCAGACCAACTCTATATGTGTCATATATATACACATATATATACATATGTCACAAGTGGTTTTTAAACAAAAAGCAAAGAATATATATGTGTGTGCATATATATATATATGCAGAGAGAGAGAGAGAGAGAGAGAGAGAGAGAGAGAGAGAGAGAGAGAAAGAGAGAGAATAGATGGGTTGGGTTGTGGATCTGGGAAGAGTTGTAAGGGAATTGGAGGGTGGCTATTTTCAAAATATACTGTACATATGTATGGAGTTCTGAACTAATTAGCAATAAGTATGGATTTAAAAAAGTTTTATTCTCATACAGACAATGAGAAGAACTTTAGATAAATAAAGAGACACATTAGTACATGAGGGAAGATGCTGATTATTTTTTTTATTTATTGATATTTTATTGAGCTCTACATTTTTCTCTGCTCCCCTTCCTGCTTCTCTTCTCCCTCTCTTCCCCTTCAACCCTCTCCCAAGATCCCTGTGCTCCCAATTTCCTCAGGAGATCTTCTATTTTACTGTTATCCATGTAGATTAAATCTATGTATGTCCCTCTTAGGGTTTCATTGTTATCTACGTTCTCTGGGATTGTGATTTATGGGCTAGTTTTCTTTGCTTTATAGTTAAAAACCGCTTATGAGTGAGTAAATGTGGTAATTTCTTTCTGGGTCTGGGTTACATCACTTAAAATGCTGTTTCTGGCTCTATCCATTTGCCTGCAAAATCAAGATGTAGTTTTTTTTTCTGGTATGTAGTACTCCATTGTATAAGTTTACTACATTTTCCTTTTCCGTTCTTTGGTCTAAGGGCATTTAGGTTGTTTCCAGGTGCTGGCTATGACAAACAATGCTGCTTGAACATAGTTGAGCACATGTCCTTATGGCACAATTGAACATCCTTTGGCAATATACCCAAAAGTGGTATTACTGGGTCTTGAGGAAAGTTGTTTCCTAATTTTCTGAGAAATTGCCACACTGACATCCAAAGGGGACTGTACCAGCTTGCATTCTCACCAGCCATGCAGGAGTGCTCCCTTTACCCACAACCTCTCCAGAATAAGTTGTCATCAGTGTTTTTGATCTTGGCCATACACAGAGCTATAGTACTGAAAACAGCCTGGTGTTGGCATAAAATCAGGCAGCAGGACCAATGAAACCAAATCAAATACCCAGATATTAATCCACACAGCTTCAAACATCTGATTTTTGACAATGAAGCAAAATTTTCAAATGGAAAAAAGAAAGCATATTTAACCAATGGTGATGTCATAACTCCATATCAACATGTAGAAGAATAAAAATTAACCCATATCTATCACCATGCACAAAACTCAAGTCCAAATGGATCAAAGACCTCAACATAAAGCCAAGCACACTGAACCTTACAGAAGAGAAAGTGGGAAGTACACTTGAACGCATTGGCACAGGAGAGCACTTCCTAAATATAACCCCAGTAGTACAGACACTGAGAGAAACAATTAATAAATGGGAACTCCTGAAACTGAAAAGCTTCTGTAAAGCAAAGGATATGGTCAATAAGACAAAATGATAGTCTACGGAATGGGAAAAGATCTTCACTAAGTGCACATCAGACAGAGGTCTGATCTCCAAAATATAAAAAGAACTCAAGAAATTGGTCACCAAAAGAACAAATAATCCATTGAAAAAAATGGAGTACAGATCTAAACAGAGAACCCTCAACAGAGGAATGTGAAATGGCTGAAAGACACTGAAGGAAAAATGCAACATCTTTAATCATCGGAGAAATGCAACTCAAAACAACTCTGAGATTGCATCATACACCTGTAAGAATGACCAAGGTGCTGATGGTTTCTTTGTGGCAGTTGTGCTGTGCTACACAAGTGAGAAACACACTAACGGAGCTGGATAAGAGATGAGGGATTGCCATAATGCAGCAATGATTTCACACTCAGATGAAAGGAATGGAAGGAAGGATAAAACATTGTATGGATTTCTAATGTGCTATCTAAACATGTGGATTCACAATAAATCAGCATAAAGTCTCTCACTGGGATAGTGGCATCCAATTTGGAAGAAAATTAAGAGAGAAAAAGAAAATAAGGAAGTATGGAGCTAATATTAAAAAAGCCTTTAGAGACCAAAAGCAGTATGATCTTTTTATGAGAATAGGTGGTAGAACAAGCCCAGTGGGGGATAAAGTATGAGCACGGAGGCATAAGAACCAATGATACAGTATCTCGAGCAAGGTTTGGAAATGTAGGAAGAAATGAACACTAATAGCCATGTCTCAAAACAAAAAAAAAAAAAAAAATCATCCTCTTAGCCTGCAGTGAGATGTAAAGTCAAGCAATATTCAGATTGCAGACAGATGACAACCACTCAAAAGTTAAAAGAAATGCTGCTGAGGATTCAGGGAATCACGGAACCCTTATGTAAGAAGTTCGGGCCTACCAGGCCCAAAGGAGCCAATCTTGCGTCTGCCTGGAGCTGGCAGAGGTCCTGATGGTGCCTAGCCAGTGAAGGATGAGCGTGAGATGACAAGTGTCAATTATCAGAATGCCCGGGTACTGGATGGTTTATAAGTGTTTCCTCCTTGTTAAATAAAAGTCTGCCGCAAGCCTTTTACCTGATTCCGTGCGTCTGTGTTGACTGACGTTGCGCCTTTTCACTCCCTCCCCCGAGGAAGACTTTAGGGCCCAGGAACACCCTTATACACTGATATTGTGACTATAAAATAGCCCGTTCATTGTGAACAGGCAGTATGATTGCTATCATGCGAAACAACTGTGTCACTTCTGGGTTTACACTAGGGCATTGGACGCTCAGTACAGCCCAGAAGTATGTGCACAGAAGATGCGGTGCAGCACTAATTACAGGAACCATATTAGAGAATTAGCTTAGGGGTCTGTCGATAATGAATAGATACATAAAAAATACAATACCCAAACATAGAATTTCATCCAATCATACTGAATAAAACTATGCTGCTTATATGAAAATAGTTAAAACTAGATATTGCGCACATTTTGGTAGACTTTATTTTATAGACACACACATGCATATGGGAAATTGAGAGGAGTTGGGGGACATAATATATAAGGAAGATTACCTGACTCTCAAAGTATATGAAATTCTTGAATGGGAAAGCACTTATGTTCTTATCACTGTATATAATTAATATATATATAATCAGTAATAATTATGTACAAAAGAAACTTGTACAAAATTATAGCTTTGCCACAGTTATATAATCACTATATTACATGTGAAATAGCCATCGCAATAGCATCTATACATGATGTAAAATCTTCAATGTCTATGCTCAGAAATACCTATTAAATAGTGGAGCACAACTTTGGGTGCACATGTGAGGATTCTCATGAGAAAGTTAGGCAGTGAAGCTTTTGATGCAATCAATGGATTAATGTTTAGATGGACTCAGACTACGAAGTGATTAGTGGGAAGTTGCGAAAGTTGGAAGGTATGGTTTAGGTAGGGGAAGTAGGTCCCACCCACATGAAGTTGAAGCTTTGTCTCCCCTGGCTTCCCCTGTAGCAATGTCCCTGCTCATGCTCACCATGATGTTCCTCCAACCGTGCTCTCACCATGTGTTTCTCTACCTCCATGTGTTCAGAACACTGGGCCAAAGAGCAAATAACTAAACGTTTCTATAACTGTTAAACAAAATACACAGTTTTTCATGGTATTTCTTTTCTGTCCGGCAGATGCTTGTTAACCAATGAAAATACTAATACAATCCACTGAAAGCTCTTATAATATATGGCCATTAATCAAGTGAGATATTCATAATGTTGTAGACTTAGACTACAGGAAGTCCAATTGACTTGTTGCTAATTTCTATTGGCCCAGTAGTCCCTAAATTCCCCCTAATGGGACCTGTCTCCAGTGTAATCATTAATAATTTAACACCAGCATATAATGCTGCATTTGCACCTTATCTAGTAATACATTGTTGTCAGTTTCTATTTTTATACAGAATTATAATATTAAAATTATTATAATAAATTATAATATGCTTATCTGTTTTACCACATCCTACTATGACATAAAACATTTGCATCTGTTAATCCAGTATGTATATTTCAAACAGTGAGAAAAATGAAAGAACTTAAATTTATGAAAATAAGCTGAAATTTATTATTTAAATTAACACTTTAGTGACCAAGACACAGGCAGAAAGCTATGCATGCTTGCCTATCTATTGGCCATTCAGCTTTTGTTGCACCAGTCAAAGCAATACATCTTCACACATTGTACAAATACCTCATAACAATTTAGAAGTCTCTTTGTACCAATAAAACATCAATTAAGTATATATGTAGAATATAGAATGGGAGAAAATGTTTAATTATCCATTGTGGAGAAGATTACTTTTAGACTATATAAAAGATTCAGGCTGGGGATAGAGTTCAGTCTTGTCAATCTCTCAATCAACTGAACACTCCAATCAGAAAAAGTTTTAACACACACCTCAGAAAGTAAATGCCAAAAGGAATCAATTCAACTGATAAATGGGGAAATGCACATTTTTTTTTATAAATGAGAGACATATGGACAATTTGAAAAATTATTTTTTAATTAATCTACTTATTATAATATCATTACATCATTCCCCTCTTCCCTTTGTTCCCTCTTAGTCTTCCAGGAACTCCCATGTGTTTTCTTCATGGCATATTTTGTCTTTAATTGTTCCATATATGTATGTACATGCATCAATATCAAAAGTGACTGCCTTGAATCAAATATTTCCTTTCAACAAATGCTATGATAAACAAATCACTTAGTTCTTCACTTGGTACTCTATTTTCTCTTTGATAGTGTAGGCATAGGGCAAAGATAATTTTCATTTTAAAGTGTGTTGGAAGAGTTCTTTTTCATTTCAAGACTCTCATAATCTCATTCCTTATAAGGGTTTGCTCTATGTTATTCTGTCTCTTTCATCCAAAACTTAATTTTAAGCTTGTATCAAAAATACATTTCTATATTGTTTTGCTCTAATAGTATTAGATTAAAGTATAGATTATTTCTCTGTTATTACCCTTTATACATTTGCAAATTCAGTATGTGGGTGGAAAAGGAAATTCACAGATATTTCTTTGCTATGTAGCAGTTTTGTAAGATTATGAATAATAGTTTGAATAAAGTTTAATAATCTTTAATTATCTCACAAGATGTGGCGTATCATGGAAGCTTGAATTTCTCTGCAGCTTAACTAAAGGTCACAGATCTGAAGTAGGGCTATATTTCATATTTTAAAACTTCCTTTCAAAAGGTTAAGGTAAGAAATGCCTGAAACATATAAACATCTGGAAAGTAATCATTCTAAGTAAATAAACCAAAAGTACCATTTGTCATTTGGTAAATCTGATGTTATACTTCAGTATAACATTCTAATAAAATTCCATGGAGACAATGCATAAACTATATTAACCAGAATACATGTTATATATCAGATGCCTGTAATATCTTGAGAGAATTTTTATATTGTTAGCTGTATAGCAGCTATGTGGGTAGAGTGTTTAACTATTACAGTTTGTTGTTTGACACTCCATCATTCAGAACTTATATCTTAGCATCATCATCAGTGAAAAAATCATGACTGCTCTAGTCATCTGTAGGCCCCTTTCATCTTATCTGTCATATGTGCATTGTGTTTTACAGTCTTAATCTGTATGTTTTTCTTAGCAGTATGTAATTGATACTAATAAAACACAAGTCAAGGGCCGAGGCACCTAATTTTAAATATGACCCTACTTTCTCTGTCTCTATTCATTTCTTATTAAATGATTCTGGGGAATTGTCACCATTATATTTGGAGTCTTTGGTACTCTTGATTAAGGCATACTTATGATTGAATTAAAAACAGTATAAATTAGTCAATAAGCTAAATTTTATATTAATTTGTCTATTTAAAACATAAAACGTTAAAATTAAACATTTTTTAAATATAATTGATGGTATTTCATTTTTCTTTTAATAATTAAAAGACATATATTTGATTTCAGTTATTTTTCTTCCCATTTATCTTTTTCAATGCTGCTTATTACTTTTATTATCAGTCCTACAAGTAGGAAATTAATTGAATTTCCTTGCGCAGTGTAAGGTGCATCTCTTATGAGAAATGTTTCTTAGTTACTAAACATTTGACCCTCAATAAAGGAAGATATGGGGCACGTTTGTATTTTTGTTATATTTTCTTTTTCTCTTTTTTCCTCATTGTTTGTACCTTGAATCTTATGTGAATGACACGTTTTTATTAAAATCAAGAATGAATGTTATGTAAATTATCCACTAATAACAGCTTTTGAGTTTCTAATTATTTCAAGGCTACTAAAGTAAATTCATTTTATTTTTTTGAATCAAAGCAAAGCATAAAATAATGGTTATGCTAATAAACCTATTAGCATGTGAAGACTATGTGTCAATCATCCCTCTCCAGCAACATCTAATGCTGTGAATGCTCAGCTCCCTTTCCAATACATGAGGAAAGAACTGAATCAATGAGGATTATCAGAGGATGATAAGTTAGTCACAGAACTAACCAATTTTTGGTCATTAATATATGATCGTGGGAACACTCACATGGCCACATAGCACACAGCTTCCATGCAATGAGAAACTCTTCTAGAAAGATCTTGTAAATTTGTTTATATGAGTATAGTTCCTATAACAGTTCTTTTGTCTTCTGATGGATCAGAGTTTCTCACCTTTAGACATATGGGTATTTGGGGAAAGAGAATTCTTCATCATGTGAAATGTTTTATTGACTAGAGTTTGGGTGTCCTGAGTTCTTTTCTGTGTCTCTTTCAGTTAGCAACCTTCTACCACTATAACCTAGACATACCCATCAACAAAACACATAGGTAGGGATTTGAGCAGTGTAAGGCTATTAATGTGGAACTCTCCCAAAGGTAGAGGACAAAAACCAGCTAGCTCCTTTTCAAGCATGTGAGGATTGAGGATATGTGTTTAACTAAATTGAATCACATTAATTGAGACATAAACCACATCTTCAAGAGCCTGTGCGATCAAGAGTATACCATACCTTACTAAGCTGTTAGCACTGTCTGGATCTTGTGCCAAGACGGTGCCAACAATTGTTCCGATCTTGGCATTTTCATAGACGTCCATGATGTAGGAAGGCATAGAAAAGAGGGGTGGTTCATCCACGTCCCCAACAATGATCTTCAGCATTGTGGCATCTTTAAATGGACCAAGGTGTGAAAAGCGGAAGTCCAGGTGTGTATTTGCTCCTTCAATGTTGAGTGTGTAAGACTTCTTTTTTTCATAGTTCAGTGGCTGCAGAAGAACAATGTGATAGCCATCATTAGAACTTCCACATTTTCAACAATGCAGTTATTTTTCTCCAAACCAGAGCAGAAAGAAGTCAAATTACTTTTTCGTAGAGCAGAAAGAAGTCAAATTACTTTTATTTTTTTTAAAAAAAAGCTATAATGTTTTTCTGAATTATGATATCAAAAGGGAACTCATGGGAACTCCAGACTTAATCCATAGGGATTTTATATAGCCTTAGAATGTGTTTACACCACATGCAGAAGTAAACTCCCCCCAGGAAAATAATATTCATTCACAGAGACACTTTCTAGTTCTCCCCATCCCCATGAACCAGGAATTATCAGACAGATAATCTAAAAATAGCTGCTGCTAACTTGTTGGAAATTTGAAAAACATAACAATTAACATTTATGTAATTTACCTCACATTATTTCATAATATTTTCCTTCTTTTAAATAGGATGTTTGGTGATTTTCCTTTTTGACTTCAGTTCCTTCTAGAATTGTGCTCCTCACTCCTTCTCAAATACACCATTTGATACAATGTATCAAATGTATTGACAATATTTTCTCCTTTCCTTTTTTTAGAAATTTTTTATTGATTTTTATTGAACTCTACATTTCTACTTGCTCCCCTTTCTGCTTCTCCCCCCCCTTAAGCCCTCCCCCAAGGTTCTTTTTTTTGTTTATTCTCTCTTCACTCTAATATTTGTGTTATTTGCTATATAGAAATTATATAGTTTATGTTTGTCTTTTGTTTTACTTCTTGTTCTATTTACTCTACTTTCTTTCTTATATTTTTATTATATTATGATATTTAGATCAAAGTTTTAAAAGCTGCCTTTTTTTCTTCACTTGCTTAAAACTTTTAGCTTTGACACTTTATTAATTGGTCATTATATTTCCTTCAGTTTCTTCCTTAATTTTCCATTTTCCAATTGCAGCTTTTATTGTTTTGGGGGGAATGAACCTTTAGCCTGATTCCTTAGGTAATCATTCTATAACTTAATAGCACAACCAGTCCTTCAGCTAATATCTACCTTCCATTAAAATTTTATGTTGGGCATCATGAATTGACTTTATGTGCAATGATATCAACCAATGCTTTGTCTCAAAAAGACATTCTATTATTATAGGAAAATATAGCAAAAAAGTATTTTATATTAACGTTGCATGTAATATTGAATATTATGAATATTAGCAGTGATGCAAACTGATACAGGTATGCATGTCAATAGGCAAATTGACTTTTTAATAACTGAAAGCTTGAAAAATACTAACCATGCTGCACATTTATGTTTGCATTTGGTTTGGGAACCAAAATTATCTCAGATTTAGTTATAAGAAAGTTTGGATAATGTAAATCGTTTAGATTTACACATTTTTAGTGGTGAGTTAATTAAATCTTCAGTATCAAACCTACTAATTAGAAGTTGCTTTCTTGCAAAAGAACTGAAACTGAAAATAATTAATAACTCTCTTCAAGAAGATTTAAGTTCTGAGCCAGACTGTGGTGACACATGCCTTTAATCCCAGCACTAGGGTGGCAGAGGCAGATGTATCTGTGAGCCTGAGGCCAGCCTGGTTTACCAGAGCTGCTTCCAGGACATGCTCTAAAGCAACGGTGAAACCCTGTCTTGAAAAACAATACAAACAAACAAACAAACAAAAAACTAAGAAGATCTAAGTTCTGTCAGGATGTACACATTGATACCTTAAATTTCTAGGTACCACTATGCTTTAAAGAAAGAATCTGTCTCTCACTCCTTTAAAAACCTTACTCTAGTTTAAATAAGATATTCTAAAGTTTGTGAACATTTGTTGCCCCTCAGGGACCAGAGGGTGCTGGATAAATGCTTATTGTATTATGAACACTGCTTTCAGAGTACCACCTGCTGGTTCCTAGCACCCACATGGAAATTCACAGCTGTAACTCCAGTCACAGCGGACCTGACACTCCCTCCCTCCCACCAGGAGCACCAGGCTTTTACATGGTTTACATACCTGTCATCTTAAATTTTAATTTATCTTATTTTATAATTTGGTATGTGTTCCACAACAACACTGTCCTCTTTATATCTAGGCCTGGCTATTCATAACTGTATATGTCACTGATAGGAAGCAGAAGGCAAGAGGTCTCATATTGCTTAAGATCAATGTTTATAATATTAGTTATTAAACTTACTTTGGCGTAAAACTTCCTGACCAATGTTCTAATCCTTCTACAGTGTGGGTCATATTTGCTTTGATATAGTGATTAGCATGTCTTTTCTCACAGCACTGGATTATAAAACATCTGTCTTCATTCATTCACTTTTACAGAATTTTACTCCCTTCAATTCAGAAAAATCAGTGAAGGAAATTTTTGGCCATATTAAGTTCATTTTGATGTTATTATCAGGCTGCGCAACAGAGAGGATAGACCACACATTTCCTAGTAGGTCCCTTTGGCAAAAAAGATTTCACATGTCTTAATGCCGCCCACCTAATGCTAAGGTACAGGCTGTTTGTGTGGACACATGGTTTCGTGATGATGATCATCTAATATAAGTTTAACTACCTCCAAGCAGAGATAATCATCCTGGGGAACTTGCTTGCCAAGATTGGCAGATGGATGGATAGGGACCATCTGTAGCCACAAAGGATGGAGAGAATAATTTCAGGTTGGGTCAGAAATTTGAAGAAAAGTTTGCTACCACAAATAGGAACATTTTAGTAGTGTTATTTCTGAACAAAAATTGGTGATATTGAATTACACACATAGAAAATTTGGGAGGAAATATTATCATTCATTTATTCTGTATAGTTCAGAATTGTGTGTTCAATACCAAGCATATTAGTCTTTGTATTATAATCACAGAAGTATATAAATTGGGCAATATATTATTTTCCTATATTGTAACTGTGGCAAACATGTACAACTACTTATCATTTATAAATCAAAAAATAATTCTAAAAATCTTTAGACTTTAGAATTTGTATTAAATTCTGTCTGTGGGGCTTAATATTCTTTAGATGCAAGCAAATTTTAGCCTAAATATAATCCAATGAATACAGTTTGTTAGAAACAATAAAATCTATTTACAAAATCACATAAATCAAAAGTCACATTGAAAAGAAAGAACAGGGAAAATTCACCATGACTACTGAAGTATCATGAAAGGGAAATAGCATGAAATCTCTAGGAATTCATAAACTAAAAACATAGCATTTTCTGCTTAAACAAAAGAAGAATCACTGAACAAGGGTAACATGATAAAGACATATCAGCGTATTGTAAAACCACTGATTGTTCATGGTAAATTAGAACTTTATCATGGCTCTATTTTGTAATATCAAATACTTAGGTTTATAGATGTTTCTAGGTAAATCCTGATAATCATTAAAATTGAGTATCTATGTAGTGCTCAAACTAAAATAGGAATTATGTAAAAAGTGTTTCTCCTTGAAATGATAGAAATTTGCACGAAAATGATGGGCTCTAGTCCTTGGAAATCTGTTCACTATTATTTACAGATTCTTTCATTCATATTTTTGTCGGTGGATGGGTCTGATTATTTGAATCAAATTAATTTTAGTTTACAAACTGTAGAACTGGGATGAATCTCAAGGGTGGAGCATCATGAGTCTGCATAATGAGTTTGTATTTATAATGAGAGACAGCAAAGTTCATGATGGTTCTGCATGGAAAATCATGAACATAAGTCAACGCTTGGGGAAACCAATTACAGGAATAAGAACAAATCATCGCTCAGTTTTGTTTTGGGCTTTTTGCTTTGTTTAGTTTTTGGTTTAATAGGATTTGCTTTAGGTTTAATTCTTAGGAAAAAAATTTATAGCAGTCCAAACTCCATTGACTTTGTTTGTATAAGTATTGTGATAATGGGTATTGAACTGCACAAATCAAGGAACTACTTAGTCACTGATCTATTTGATATAATTAAAATGAATGAATTATAAGTTAAATAGCTGCACTAAAAACCATCTACTTGAAGAAGCATCTTTTCTGATGAGTGGTTATTAAGGTACTGATCTATGAGTATAGCATATGTTATATTAACATAGGCCATTATGTTATGTTAACATAGGCCATTATTTTGGTATGTTCATTTAGCAGTATAGCAATAATAGGTTTTCCCCTATGGTTCATGACCTTAAGTTGTTGGCCTCATTTAACTTAACAGATATGGTTTTCTTTAATGGAGTGTCCTCAGATCCAACCACAATGTGGTTGTTTAATCCCATAACATTTGGGGATATGTTTCAGAATATTTTGGAGGCAGGTTCAGTTATTTCTGTGGCAGGTATGTAGCAGGGTTCATTGCTAGGTAAGATTGATGATAAATTCCCTGTCTAATAACGTATATAGTATCTTTTAATAGGAGTGTTACTAGGTAGGAATGAAGCTTCTTGTGGGGTACCGTAGAATTTCTACATGTACAGTGACATGAGTAAGAGGGGTCTTTATCATATGTGTGGGCATGCATATGTTTCAAGCCTAGGCAGTTTGGATGCTCACCTTACTAGACTTGGATGGAGGGGGGTGGTCCTTGGGCTTCCCACAGGGCAGGGAACCCTGATTGCTCTTTGGGCTGACAAGGGAGGGGGACTTGATTGGGGGAGGGGGAGGGAAAGGGGAGGCGGCGGTGGGGAAGAGACAGAAATCTTTAATAAATAAATAAAAAAATCATCTGGTTGTTATTACTCAATATAATTCCTACTTTAGTCACCCATTCCTTCTCCTCCCAATTTAAAACCTCAGAACTGGAGAGTGTGTAAAGAGATGGAGACTCTGGGGCACTCTGCCTTAAAAATGGGATGATTTTATCAAACTCCTCCCAACAGGACTCAGATAATAATGAAGAAGATGAATTGGGAGAGGAGAAAGAATATGAACAAATTATATCATATGAGAATATTTCAAAATAATTACAATTTTAGGAACAACTACTCTAAACTAGATTACAAAGTATTAGGACCAGTGGAGTGAGATGGCTCAACTAG